CCGAAGTTACTCAAGAGCTTTTAACATTCTTCTGACTTCTACAATGATGACAGTGCAATTGTATTGGTTTCCATGTTTCAGTGATGCTGTTGTGTCACAAGTACTAGATGAACTTGGTCTTCAGCTCACAGACCAGTTGTCTGGCTTGCCACAAGCTGCTGGATCACTGGCAGCAAGTGGAGCAAAAGCACCAGCCATAGCTGCAGCAAACGGAGGAGTTGGTGCAGGAGCAATCAACGATGCAGATGCAGACCTCCAGGCCCGCCTTGACAACCTACGGAGGGAGTAGGACCAACAGGGTTCCCTACTAATGGACATCTCACTGGTTCCTTTGTTCAGTCCCATGGATGCAAAAGTAACAGAATTTTTCATTGATGTAAACCAGTTTTGACAAAAATCTTCAGTATTAAATTGGTTGAAAACAGGTTCAATATTTAAAAACATAATTGAAAAATATGGAGTTGCTAGGAGCTACAGGCACAGACTTTCTTATTAAACTTTTACCACAGATATTTATGTTTGTTCTCTCATGTTTAATATTGTTTGAACTGCTATTCTCATTATACCCCAAACAACCTGAAATGTTTCCCTTCTCTTGCTTAAAATATTTCAACCAACTACATGGAGTCAAGTCCTTGAGAAGCTGGAAATTGCTCATTAGGCTGTCAATAAATTCCACACTTCTTATGGAACCAAAAGGTTCATTATCGGGTTCATAGGAGCCTGCCATCAATCACTGTCCTACCCGAGTCTGATCACATTTTCATACGCAGGTTCCCTAAGATCCAGCTTAATATTATCTCATCATTGCCTTGGTCTTTACAATATTCCAGGGAAATGCGATTATACAGAGGAAAATTAGTTGCTCCTGTAAAGTCACTATTTTCATAGGTTTCCTTTTTAGATATTGTAATGAAGGCTTGATAACAGGGAGGACTGAACTACTGCATGTGCTCAAATTATCATCAGGTTTTCTTCATTCACTTTACAATTCAAAGTATCTGCCACAGATGACCCATCAATTTTGTTTAGCTTATAAATTATTTCAAAATATCCACCATATAATGGTAACAATGTAATTATTCTTTCTTTGCAAACCAGTGATAGAAGACGATTTGCATGCATGTCTTATATTACACTTCAGAATAGTGGGCAACCATATTTACTGTTACAATTGACTGTGGTAATTTTACCCAGTTTCAGTATGGCTGAATCCGAAACCACTATTGGACAATCCTGCATTCATCTCATCAAACCTCAAAGAGGCCACTTTCTTTCCACCAAAATTCCATATGCATTCATAACATCTCATTTTTCTGAAAACTTTCTCATTTAACAGAATTTTGAGTGGAACAAGACTGTTTTTGTAACCAACGGTTAATCTACAATACTTTGTTCCCAAGGAGAAACATTTTGTATCTTTTTAAGTGCAAATGTTCTCATCTCCTACTGTACATTGTAAGGACTTCAGTTCACTATGGGCCTCAATATTGCCATCATGGATCAGGAAGTATTTTCCAATCAGAGCCTTAAGCTCTGAATTGGGTTGCTTCTCGACACAAAGCTAATAATGATGTTGATATTATATATGAAAATTTGTTAGACAAATAGCAAAAGTAAATAATTATTCATAATTAGTTAATGTATGAAAGATTACAACTGTTATCTAGCAATAACTAGATACTGTTTAAATAATAAGTTCTTTTGCAACATAATGGAATATGGACAACACTATAGTGTGTGGATTGTAAACCTTTATTTTATGGTAATAATAATCTGTGGCGTAACGGTCCTCTGAGAGCCAAAGCCGACTAGCTGCCTGCTGGCCTCACGTTCACATGCCTAAACAGAGAATTTAGCTTCATATACTTCATATTATGGGTATGTGTGATGTTAGTTCATCTTCAATGTCCAGAACTAACTTTTATTAAAAGTCATAAAGTTGTGGGCAGTTTGGTTTTACCGTAACAAGAATCTGCAAACATTAACATATAAAATGTTCTGTTGTGGAATGGATTTATTAAATAAGAGTAATTTAACCTGTCTTTACATTTAATTGTGAAACAGTATATTTCACACCTTTATTTTGTAATATATGAACCTATAAAACAGTGTAGAATAAAGCTATAATATATATACTTGGACATTTATATACTGATGAGTGTTTTATATACATTGTTAGACTCCCACATAACAGCAATTATTTCCTTTTTTAACTTTTCAATAAATGCAGTGTTGCATATAGTTACACATGTGCGTGTAAGTTTCTCTTTTAAAGATAGACTTCATAGTACATCAGAGAAAGTCCTGGACCATTCAATTCCACATTAATACAGGCTGAAACATCATCAAGGCTGTGTAAATTTGGCTTGCAGACCACTTTAAATCCTCTGGTTAATCTGCATTCACACGGGAAAATTTTGGCCAAAATTCTGAATTTAATCAGACGTAACTGAATATTCATTGATGTGCATTCAGAGTTTGCTCCGCAGCACAGGCACACTGGTTGCCTGATTATGACTGCCTCAGCCAACCAACAATGCATTCATTGATAAATGGTTCATGTGCATTATGGCATCATGACTCCATGGCACTCCAGCTCAAAACCAGCAAATGAAGAATGAACAACACAATTACCAATCACGTGATTATTCCTGGTGCATGCATGCAAGGAAAAAGAATATTTGCAGAGTAGCAGAAGGGGAAATATCTTGTTGGTAAATATCACTTAACTGGATCAACACTTTGAGAAGCAGGAAAATTAGTGGTCCATGGAGATAAGAGAATACTAAACTTAAGACTTACATCACAGCCTTAAAAAAGTAAAGGTTTAAGGGCAGACTGACACTGAGACATGAAAAGTATCCATCATAACACACTATACCTCTGAAAACGAGGGAACCACACTAGTGCTGTCTTGTCATCTGCCATAGTAAGTAGAAGTTTAGTTTAAAAAAAAAGTTTGTCCCACTATACGCCATGGCATATAGTGGGACAAACTTTACTTTTTACTTTACTTTGTCATCTGCCATAGTCTATATTTTTCTTGTTCAGACTGCCAAATTCTACTTCCAACATGCACAACCTCTCATCAGTCTGACATCTCTGGAAGCTACAATGCAAATGACTGCTGTCCCATCCAGTACACCCTTCTGCATTTTTTGAGCTTTCTATACACCTGTGCAACAGTATAATTGCTAAAAATCTGCTAAATAGCTGTATTATCTATAATTATAAGTTCTTACATCAGGTAAGGCACAATTTAACAGTTGCATCAGATTTTTTTAACTGATGTCCACTATACAAATTGTATATTTTTTCAATAGGGTTGGGAAATTTCCAATGACATTTAGCCTTTTTTATAGAATTCAAACTACCACTTTTGCTAACATCTAGTGATTTTTTATGGGCTGACATGCTTGTATGATTAGAAAAGAACAGGTTTTTGGCCAATCAGTTCTGCAGAGACCAGGTGAATACAAAACAAATGAATGGAAGCAATCCTTTTACAGAACTGTGAATATGGAAGACGTGACAAGAAACAAAAATTTTTAAATTGTTGCTTGCAAAACAGGCCAGTAAGGTTATACTTGAAATCAAAATTTAATGAAAATTGACTGGGCATACAAAAAGGGAAAAGGTGCACCAAGAGCATGCCGGACTGAAAGTCCCAAATGCATAAATATCACTTAAAGAGAATAACTGAGGGAAAATCTACTGAAGAAAACTACACATGGTATGAAGTTAAAATTTTTGTTGCCAAGAATAGGGTCCACTGGCAGCAATTTGTGCTCCTATGAACAACAGGCAACACTGATAATGGCATGTTGTTGGTACAACCTAAATTGTGTGGATCATCCATTTTTCTGTACTTAACACACATCAGTACAAGAACATGACAGTAATCAATCCCAAACAATGTTACAACAAAAAGGACTGATGTCAACTCAGTCTGTAAAATTATTTCAAACCAACCAAACCCTTCTTAGTAGGAATGGTGACATGAACAACCATATCAGGCCACTTGGAAAGTCAAAATACAACCAACAATTTATACAAGAGCAGAAGCCTACAAACTGGCTAAATAATACATAATTATATTAAAAGGCCAACATATATTTCATTCATTCATGTCCACTACAAGGAATGGGCAATTGTCCTTATTAGTCTTGTATAGTGCATTTGATAGTGAGTGACAAGCCCACTGCCTCTGCACAATTTCTACTCAATCCTGAATCATCTGTTAGAGCCATCTAGTAGATAATCAGGAGAGAATTGGGTGAGAAATGGCCACTGAATTTTGATTACGAAACATCTTGTTCATGCTCGTAAGGTTCTTTTACATGCCATAAATCTATGAGCTGGGACCGCCGGCTTTACTTCCCCTCCGAAGGAAATTGTGCTACGGATTTTTATCATCCTTAAAAATCCATTAACCTCAGCCAAGTTTCAACCCGAAAACCTTGGGTTCAGTGGTGAACACTAACCACTAGTTCACCACGGGCTTTCAATGAAGATAAAAATCTTGGCACATATTTACATCTTCATGTACATCCAGTTTAAGCAATGATCGTAGACCTACGACTACCTAACAAACAAAAGCAACATCATACTAGTAAATGCCATGTTTATTAGGAACAGTCATCAGTTTTATTTTATTTATACAGCATACAAGCCTTACCACCAGTATGTCAAAGATAGGCATGCAAACACTGAAGTACACCATGACAGCACATCAAATGATTCTGGTAATATACTAGTGACATTTACTATGGTCAAACCATATCTTTCTGAAAATACTGAAACTCGATCAGGTATGCAAATCAACTTAAAAAAATAAACACAGTACATTTATAAAATAAAATCATGTTTGATTTAAAGCATAAAATTATAAAAAAGTATATATGTGCATGTATATACATGTATGTAGATTTTGTTTGTGTGTGTGTATTCCAACAAACACTCATCTGTGTACATGAATGCATAATTTTGCATTTTGTAACATTTAATCTGTACATATTTTTAATGTGTATAATAAATATTTACCACTGAACTTTAATTTTTGTGCAATACATTTTAAACATGTTAAACATAAGCCACAACTCACATGAAAATGTTTTTCAAAAAAAACATTCAGTACTATCAACATCAAAAATTGCTGGGACAAAAGAAATAATTCTCCAACTCGTGGCATCATAACTTTTATGTTGACACTGGATGAAAGACAAACTTCTTTCCACATTTCTCACATAAATTCACAAATTTAATGCAGATGATAAAAAGTTGGTTATATATTATTATGAAAGCTTAATATACTAGGAATATTTGTGACATAAAATGGTTTTGATTAAATGTTTGTTGGATACAAAATGTCATATCCTTCATTGAGCAGAAGTCAGTGTTGCAACAGGAATGTTCTTTTAATGGGAGTTAATTCCATCCACCCATTTCCAGTTGTAACGAACAAACTGTCAGCACAAGTTTCATATTTATGACTAAAGATATGACCTCTTTACATTTTTACTGACTGGTGTCTTATGTTGCTTTTGACCAGGATGTTTGAAAACTGTTCAATAATTATCACTAATCAACGACCTGAGAATATTTCACACAAATCCATTTCACTGGGATTCATTCAGACTATCAACTGAAATACTATCAATAGTGTATCCGTAGAATACAATATGAGAATGCTGTTTCCAATTTGCCTGGACTCATTCAATCACTCAAAATGCTGTCAGTATGCTGCCTGAAGCATACTACAATTTGAGAATGTCATTTCGTTCATATACACGAGAGAATATGTTACATTTGGCCTTAAACTGGGTCATAACAGCCTTAAACAGTACAGTACAAATTCTCCCTTTATGACTTCTGGTAATTCAGTCACAAACACTTGTTTGGCCAACACAATTTCCACCTGCAACCCCCTCCCCAAAATAAACTTCGTATTCGCGCAAATTTCAAATCACAGATAATTTTTCAGTGCTGCCCATGATGAAATGAGCATACAACTAAATTGTTCTCAGACACTTATACCCTGAAGTTTGGATTTGGTGTCTGCCAGCCTGTTGCAGTAGGTCCAAATTTGTACACCAACCTCCGGCCCAAAACAGGCTGCAACACTTTGCTCCTATAGTAGTACCTGCACATAAAAAAAATCTACTATTAATGAGATTAAGTAAAATTCTTACCTTATGAACTTTTGTGTTCAGTTAGACTTCAAATTTAAAAAAAAATTGGACTGCCATTGGTCTGCTATACACACGAGTCTCCACTCTAGCTGTGTGGATTTACATAACTAATGGTAGCCCTCGTTAAAATTTCCTGACAATAGGACTGTTATGTTTCAAAAGTTGACAAAGCTAAGAAGTAATTTTTCTAACATTAACATAAGCACATGCCTGTGTGTTCATACAAAGTTTATCAAGATGATGTTTCAACTCTCACCAACTATCCATCAATATGGAAGATAGGTGAATCAGGTATATTACCTATAACAAACAAAACTATGCAAAGAGACAAATGAGTGGAGATACATAAAATTTAGTCAAATCACAAACAAAGCAGCACTACACACTGTTTACAATATGAATCTTAAAAATAAAATGTGTCTCGAGAACCTTGAAAAAAATTCACCTCTGTATATTATGAAAAAACTCTTAGAAAGTACTCGACAATCTTTTATTGTTGGCTTACTTTTTATGAATGCACACATGTAGATGTGCAAGTCTACCGATATTTTACAAACTATACAAAAGTGTTGTCCCAGTACAAATAGTAAAAGAAAGTCTCCAAATTTACTCCTCATCCTCTTCAGTAACCAGTAACATACATACCACAAAAAAACAATACAAGTGCTACGATACTCAAATGTAAGAAGAGGAATATTTAATACTACATGATAGCTCAGTCAGTATAGTGACTAGCTACGGGCTGGACGGCCGGGGTTCGATCCCCGATGGGGGCAGAGGATTTTTCCTCTAGCCTCTGCGTCCAGACCGGCTCTGGGGTCCACCCAGCCTCCTCTACAATGGGTACCGGGGTCCTTTCTCGGGGGTAAAGCCGGCCGGGGCGTGATGCTGACCACTCACCCCCATCTAGTGCCGAGGTCAAGGAAGAGAGGAGCTATACCTCCACTCCCCCCAAACGCCTACATGACGTATAGTGGGACAAACTTTACTACATACAACATGAAACAGGTAAAACCTTAAATCTACATTTACAAAATTTTACAAAAGATCAACCACTACATAAATAAAATCACACTGCTTTCGGGTTAAATATAGCAACCACTATCAACATAATCGAAGACCAACAAGAACATGTGGAACACCAATTACAAAATAAAGTGACTTACCTCATGGCACGGCTCAATTTTTCGTACGTCATTTTAGGGTTCTCTTTAAGTGATCCCCATAGTTTCGCAACCTTCTCGCTACGAACAAATCTGAAAACACCTTCATCATGGTTTTCCCAGCAGATTAAGCTTGGACAGTATTCTCTATTCAGCAGTAGATCTCTAATGAACTCCCACAACCTTCCAGTCTTCTTTTCTATTTGAAACAAAGAACATAACAAAAATTTAGACAGCAAATCTCTAATAAATCCCCATAACCTTCCAAACTTCTTTGCTACATAAAATAAGGAATGATAAAACATTAGAATTTAAAGATATTTCTACTGAATGGTTCAGGCAGGTTCACACTATACACACATTCTTCACAAGCAACTTACTTTTTATGTAAGATGTACATCACAAACTACAGGGTTTTTGTATTGTTTTGCATATGCCAAAGAGAAAAATGCACTATTTTATTTTTTAATGCTTTCTTGCAGGGTTTTTGTATTGTTTTGCATATTCCAAAGAGAAAAATGCACTATTTTATTTTTTAATGCTTTCTTGCAACTATCGTTTTCCCATATTCACTGTTTTTATTTCCCTCCCCCATCAAAAACGATACATTGAGGTTTCACTGTATTATTTACATAAATGTTAGCTTATTTAAAATTTATTTTGCAAACAGATACACAATAATCTCAATTATTATGGTTAACATACAAATTTGTTTTCTACATCATAAATCACTACAGAAGTGCAGACACAAAGTCATTTTTCATTGCTGAAATATAACACACACCAAACACTATCCTTTAAAATTGATATTACCTGGTTTCTTACTCCTACGTCCAGGTATACGAGGCCGCCCTGGTCGTCTCTTGCCTGTTACACTTGGTGGAATGCCATGTATTCCACCTTCAGATTCATCTGAAAGTATAACATTTCCATTTTTAAAAATATAGTGTCTCATCTAGCAGTCAACCTAAAATGCAAAATTAGCAATGGTAGTAAAGAGAGGGAATGTATAAAACACGGTGTGTTGGTTAGTTGAAAGATGCAGTAAAGACAAACATATAATATTTTTATATACACATGTATTTAAGAAGGGATACAGGTCAACATCTGATATAGGCCAGGAATGGTTATCTACTTGTACTGACCCACACGTTGATACATAAAAAATTACTTCAGTAATACATACACAATCATGTAACAGATAAATCTGAAAAGTTCAAAATATATTTTATAAAAAAAGAGATAAATATCATTCACAATATCATAAGTACTGTGTACATGATATACAATTTCAAAATGTTAAAAGAATACACGTTCATAAGGAAATTAGGAGAAAAATATGGTCTGTATATTACTACACGGTACAAAATGTAGTACCCCATAGACATTCCAAAATGATCGAAATCAAAAGTACACATATACAAGAAGTGTCTGAAAGGAAAACTCAGAAAAGTATGAAATCGAGACACATAAAACAGATAATTAGGACATAAATTGCAGTCATCATACAGGTCATCTAGTGTTTTTTAGGTGATGAAATTTACAATGTTACAACGTTATGGAAGAAATGTATATATCATTTTAGAAGTGAAACCTGTTAGAAGGCAGCCACTTGAGGGGACTGAGAAGGTAATGTGAAGATAAAGATGAATAATAAGGATAGAAGGAAGATGGATGTCTTGGGAGTTTGTTTATTATTGGCAGTGTTGAATCTTCAGGTAATACTACCAAAGATTAGTCCTAAACAAATCAGTACCAAATTCTGTATTATAATTATAACAAAGGTATACCTGAGGATTGGTGGCCTTCAATTCTGGAAGTGCTTGCTGAGTTAAGATTCATAAGTAATGGGTAATAATCCCTCTCATCAGGCTTAATTGTGGATACTGGAGGCACTAGGGATATACAATAAAAAAATATTACTTCAATACATTTATATGAGGCTTATGTCACATGGCCATCACTTTAACAGGTGCCATCAAACACAATACACAATGTAGGGTTTTAAGCTTTCATGGCTGTTCAGAGGAATACACTGCTTTTAACAGCATAACTAACTAACTAACTAACCAACCAACGAATCAACCAACTAACTACATGGCTTACGGAACCCGAAGATTCATCACCAAACTAACGAAAGTCCTCCACCAGACCACATCCTGGGCCAACAAAATGCAGTCTCCTTCAACTCCTATCTCCCATAGATCCCACCTGACATTATCCTCCCATCTACATCTAGGTCTCCCCAGCAGTCTCTTCCCCTCAGGCTTCCCAACCAATACCTGGTGCACACCTCTTGCCCCCTCCATGAGCACCACATGCCCCACCCATCTCATTCTTCTTGACTTAATTAATGACTCTGATATTACTTGGGGAGGAGTATAAATTTTTAAGCTCATCATTAGATTTTGACAGCATAGCAATAAATATTCACTGAATCAAAAAATCTTTCAAAGAAAACTTTGTCTTAAGCTCTACATTTAATGTTGCACATTTATTTATACTATGACATCATATTTTATAAATCTGACACCTTACTTAATAAAACCTGTGTTTAAACATTTATTGGCCAGGTGTCTAAGCTTGTGTGTGGTTATGCATCACAGCACCATACTGCTAATCCACTCACATTTGTTTATATTATCCACCTGCTGATGCTCTTGCTCTTGCTTCAGTTGCTGCAAAGTACTGAAAAGAAATTTCCCATGCTGTGATTCTCTGGATACAAAATCTGCTTCAGACATACTGTACAGTGTTGCTCCATCTATATCATTAAACTGCGAAATACCTATTTCTTCAGAGTTCAGGTCATTCTTATTAGCGACTGAAATTATCCAGCACATTATGTCATTAGACTCCCACTGTTTCACAGACTTCGTTTTCCAGTCTGTGTTTACACAATCATCTGAAACACAAACAGCATCCTTAAAGCGCAACACACAACTGAAAAATCCACATATCTACAGCAAAAACTACAATTCAATATGAAATTACAGGTTTCTATCGCAGTGAAAATAGGGACTGTAATAGTATGGGTTCCAATGCTGTGCAGTCTTTTAGGCTGAAACATCTTTCTCCAAAATGTTGTAACCACCTACAAATTTAGTGTCACAACCCAGAATACTACAATCCTTATGTTTAATAGTTTATATGTTGAAACTGCCCAACATTCACCATATTTGGATCGTTTCAGGCATACTAAACCTTATATACGAGGGGCAGTCAAAAAGTTCCCGGAATTGTGGTATAGCACTGTAATGGTAGGACATATGGCAATGCTTACCTAATCACCTTCAAAGTAGAACCCTTGCGCACACACACTTGCTCCATCGATCCTACCATTGCTGGAAGCACCGGCAGAAGGCTTCGTTTGGAATCTTCCAGAGTTCAGCTGTCACATTCGATTTGATGTCCTCCATGGTTGTGAACCGCGTCCCCTTGAGGCCCATTTTCAGAGTAGGGAACAGCCAGAAGTCACTCGGAGGAACATCCGGAGAGTATGGTGGTTGGGTGATGACGGGAATGCTTTTCTCGGTGAAGAATTGATCCACAACCAGCGATGTGTCGAATGAGACGACTGAACTGTGCGCAAGGGTCCTACTTTGAAGATGATTAGGTAAGTGTTGCCATATGTCCTACCATTACAGTGCTATACCACAATTCTGGGAACTTTCTGACTGCCCTACGTTTATTTGATTCATATCAAAATGTTGTATGGTTCTCCTTAACATAAACCAGTTGCGAATCACACACGTGCAGTTGAGTACCACTGTCAAAAGACACACTTTTATACAAAGAACATAAGGTTAATTCAGTGGAGAGAAATGAAATTGATATAAATGTACGAGACTTAACATCAGTGAAATGGAATAACGTTTCTTACATTGATGTAATTTTCCAACTTAAAAATGAAACTGTTTCACTGTTTTTGGAAAAATTATAGGGATTCAACCTATAAATATGGCAAATGTTCATTTCTTTGAACATAAGAAAAATGAAGACAGGCTTCAACCAGTCAAATGAGACATAATACATGATTGATTACATATAAATATTAATCTTTATTCTTTATAATACCCAAACAGAAAAAAAGTGATCTTATCCTGGAAGTCTGGACAGTGTGTGTGCTTCTCCCTTCAGCTTTTAAACGCTTCAAAGACCCTTGAATGCTTATTCAGATACTTTTCTGGATATTTTTAATGCTCTGAACAACTAGGAAGGTAACCAGTGTAATTTGGTTCTCTATCAGAAACATAACTAGCTATTCTAAATAGTCAACATCTTATAATTAAATGATTTTTATTAGTATGCATTCAATTCATCTAGATGGTCTGTAGTCAACTGAGCATAAGCACCAACACAACACAGGAAGTGAATAATGCAGCACAGATAACTATTTAAATATTTATGGTTAGTACTGAACTCAAGTCTGAACAGTTATACTTACTTGGGAAGGCTAACTGCTTGTTCACAGCTGTGGAATGTACAAAGTATTCAGAACTCTCACTATTTTCCCAGGAATTTGTTTCATCTCTTGTCCAAATAGATGCCAGGTAATTATTAGGGTCTTCCCATCTAGGCTGAAAGAATAACAATTACATGTAGGATTTGAGGTTTTCACAGCAGTGAGTCTGAAGATTAGTCTTCTACAACAATTACACTTAGCATAAGCGAACTACCACAATTAGCCTTGGCGCTCGCTTGGTTTGTTAATGTCGGAGAGTTGTGTCACTTGTTGAGGTGAAGGAGCAGTTAACAAAACATGGTGTGATGGTCATGAATGATGATTGAGGAATCTAGGAAGCAACGTTTGTGCCGAAAGTATTAAACTGCGCCAGTATTTGCCTGAAAACTACATGAAACCTCAGGATAACCCATCCCTGTTCAGATTTGTTTCAACACACATATCAACCAAACAAAAATCAAATGCATCACTACTGCAAAATGTGTAAGTCACAGCACTTTAAAAACTGGTGTTCTGTTTAAGAAAAATACAGCCACAACAAGAGTACAAGAATTAGTACTGCTAGGTTCTAGATGGTCTTTAGGTTTATAAATAATAGAATTCCTACAACAAGTACAAAACCAACTGGCCTTGACTGGAATTAACATGACTTTCTTCCAAATACTTTTCCCCCCAAAAAATGACTAATTAATGGCATATTTATAAATATGTGTCAGCTCTCGTGTAGCTTCTAGTTAAAAAACCAAATACAATTCAATTCTACCATTACTATAATCAACCTTGCACTTTGAATCCTGTAATATAAATTTAAGGCAATAAAGCAGTAATATGAATCTGACTTATGGAACTGAATTTATGTCCCCTGGAAAAAAAGTCATACTTTATCATAAGTGTGACTGTTTTGTCGACAACTGGAAACTCTACACACGCATCATATAGTTTACAACCATCTACCAATGGAAGGAAAATCATATTCAAATCTCAACTCTTGGCCTGAACAGGCTCCTAGCTGAGGTTTTCATAATTTTTTCAGTCTCCCCATTAAAATTCTGGGATTCTATTTTAAATAAAACCATGACCAAATCCTCCCCACAATCCTTCCAATTCATTATTCACTAATAATCATATCATTTGATGCTGAACAATCTCAGTAACTGGATTTGTCAATGAACTACTAATAAATTCATTCATACCTTTTAATATGGACAATTTTTAGCAACTAGTTTTCATAATAAATTATAAATCATACAAAGTACACCAGTAAACTGACAAATTTGTTTGTTTAATAATATACTGTAAAAAGTAGTAACAAAATCTTGGACTACCATCCAAAGACAAATGTTCCCTCATCTTAATTGTTTTATTGGATTTATGAGCTAATCTCTGTAATGTATTTTTCAAATAAAAACACACCTTTGAGCCAGAAAATTCTATAAGTACAGTACATAATGTTGATCTGTGATGGACAGTTGCATCTATCATGTTTAGGCAGAATGTAGATATAATGAAGTCAATTTATATTATATAATAATACAAACATTTCACTGCAATATATGTAACACCTCAAATTATTTGGATTAATCAATGATGCACTAAGATCAACAAAGAGAAAATTAAAATTTTGACCAAATCTATAGTTCAGGAATAAAAGTCTGTTTCCAGAGACTCCAAAAAGGTGGCAATTCTGAACTCTATATACTTACCTCATAAGTTTCATCCAGTTCATTTGCACTCTGTTGCAAAGGAAACTGCATTAGAACATTTCCAAAAGGCATAGTGTCTGAAAATAAAAAAAATATCAGGTCTATTTTTGTCCTACTTCACAGTAACTTAAAAGATAATGGAGCAGGGGAAAGTTTATATTTCTAGTAGCACAGGTAAAGGCAGAGGCAAAGCTGTCTTGCTACATGCCACAGAGCTGCTTCATGGGAGAAGGGGTATAGTGTCTACTCATTCTTGACCTCGGCACTAGACAGAGGTGAGTGGTCAGTGTCAGGTCCTAGCCACACTTTACCCTTGGAAAATGGGACTTCCTGTACCCATTGGATGGGAGGCTGGGTTGGTCCCAGAGCCAGACTGGATGCAGAGAATAGACAAAATGTTCTTTGCCCCTGACAGAAAGACTGAACCCATCATCCAATCCAAAATTAGACACTACACTGATCGATACACTGTAGCTCCTAAGTAGCATATGCATTTGAATTAAACAGATTTCTTTATAAGTTCCAATTTTATTTCCAAGTAGAACCTTCACTTGTAACACTGGGACTTTTAAAGCAAGTAAATGCAATTAAGTTTTCTCAACCAGCTGTGTGAGAACACAACTGATCCAACATTTGAAGACTGTCTATACCTCCATAATCAGGGTCAATTCTTCACACACAGCTGATCACCCAAAATATACTGCAATCATAACTTACTTTACTTGAAACTCGTGTAAACAGAAGTTTATTTACATGAACTGTTGATATGAATATGGAGTACCCAAATTTTCTGAATACTAAGTGACTTCCATTTGTTCCACTGAGTTAACAATGAGCATTGCTGATACTCCCAAAACAAGAATTTTGATGTTCTTTTCATAACTATACATCATGGCATATTGTATTCCTTGTTTGTCTTCTTAATGATGAGAATGGTTACAGCTTGGGCTAGCTGTTTCCAAGCTTATGCACCATGCCAAGAAGTTACGTGGAGGGGAGTGGAGGTAAATATCCATGAATCTTTTAGCCTGATCTAGATGGAGGCAGGTGGTCAGCTTCATGCTCCAGCCACTTTACCACAAAAGACTCACTAGATAGGAGGCAGGGTGGGAGTGGATATGGTGGTAAAAAAGGCCCTCCTGCATGGAATAGAACCCGAAACTCGGTTGTCCAATCCATGACGTCACTTCACTGACAGCAATCCTAGATCACTTTGGGCTAGTACTAATAAGCAAAACTCTACTTCAGTGACAGGTTATATTGTCTTGTAAGTACAAACACAGTACCAACTGTTGCACTGCACGTGGTCATCGCTGTGAACAGGGGGTTCCCAAAATATATTTCCCTTGTGAAAGGTATTTTACGTACTACTGGCAGTTAACAGTTACATTTTATTTGGATGTTAAAATCTACAGTAACATTCTTCAGTATATTACTTTACTAATTTCTACATAGAACTGACAGACGCAACATCAATATGAACACAGCTAACACGCCCATGGGGGAAAAGCAGGGGAATACGCATAAACTGAATCGACCCCCTCCTCAACATACATCGAATGCGATACCACATGGTCGGTCTCCAGTTTACAATCATTATCGGAAACACTGGTATCGACAAACATTTCATTCAGCATTACGTACGTCATATGTATGTCGCCACACACACACACACACCAAACCACCACCAATTTTTATTCGTCCCTTAGAAACTACTATTGGGACAAAAAAAATGTAGTTAACGGAAACAATTTGTGAATTGCTCCAAATTCTTACCAGATTTCGGTAGATGATGCTGAACGTGAATTGTACAAGAAATAAATTGATGCTGCCGAACAATGTGAATGTACTCTTTTTGACGGTAGCAACCATCAAACAGAAAAAGAGATAATTTCACACGCACGAAATAAGAAAAGTAAGCTGTTTCAACGTCAGTAATAATGCACTGTTGAGGACAACCATTACACGCACGAAATAGCATACATTAGAACTTGGGAGAAACCACTCGTGCCTCCATACTTCCAACTCTTGTAACCCCACCATAAACAGACTGACGGTGACTCAAACTTAATAGTCAATCCCTGGTCTTTCGAGCTTTACCAGAATTCACATTTGGTAGCGGGGCTTCCCCGCTCACAAGCTGAACCAACCACAATCATGCATTTTCTATTACTATGACAACGAGATGACGTCAACGCGACAAGGTTTGCGTGCTGTTATCGGCTGGCTTTATTTTTGCTAGCGTGACCTTGGGAAGAAAAGAGAGGGAGAATAAGGAAAACGGCACAGAAAACTCTCCTATTGGTTGATTTGGCGGGGTCACGTGGATCATCGGGCAAGGCTAATTTCCAGGAACACTTCAGCGGCAACTAGGTGTCCTAAGTGGTTTATGTACATTTAAAAGTTATCTTTACATGCATTGAAAAACCTCATTTTGAATATCTTGCGCTCGTGAGAAGAGCACCTCTACCATGAAACAATCTAATACAGGCCAAAGTCAAATAGCCCATATTAATTTGGAAAAATCGACCACACTACATGTAATTAAGAATAATAGATATTGGTCTTCCGGGTCGTTTCACCGTGTGGACTTGTAGGCAGATACCACCGTTTCGGAGCACCATATCGCCTCATCTTCACAGTGTCAAAACTCAGAAGACCAAACCTCGAAATCGTCCCTGCTTCTTCAAATCTCATCCAACGTGAATGATCGTCCATGGCAGTCATGCGCTTACGATAACAAGGACAGCTAGAACTTTAATCGATGGTTCGAATCCTGAGGCATGGCTGTGTTCATTATTCTGCGTTGTGCTGTCCTGCAACAGTCCTCTCTGACGATAAGCCGCGTAAACATGGAATTACAATACATCATTTCGGAGACACTGCCTTTGATGCCATCACCATCTCAGCCCCGATGACAGAGACAATTTACGAAACATTGGATTGTAACTACATGCTTACCAAGGCTGACCAATGCATACAGTCTCCATAAAAGCTTCAAATTTTATCTTGCGTTGTCCTATTCAGGGCCATTCCCCCAACCAAGGAGTCTTTTTATTGTCCAAGGATTCATAAAATCAAAAACTTCTAAATAGTAAGTGGCCCATTCCAAATCACTGAACAGGAAGATGGTATCCCCCCCCCAAACTCCGCAATGAGCGGAATATAACCTTGTTCTGGCACTTCCTTGCCCACCTTTTCTGAAATTGTGCGTGTGTGTTCGAGGATGAGGTGTGCAGTGTTCAAGATTTGATGCACCAGTAAATTTCTCACACTTTTACTTAAGGTAATCAACTCGAGGATGAGATGTGCAGGACATGTAGCACGCATGGGAGATATAACAGATGCATATTGGAAACTCTGAAGACAAGAGATAATTTCTTTCAATGATCACAACGACCAAATAAATATTCAAAATATTTCGTGCGTCGCATGGATATGGTTAAATGTCGGACACTTTATCAATGTAGCAAAAACATAGAACTTGTGTCTGAAATGATGAAAGCATCTGTACTGAACAGGTGAAGAAAACTGTGTACCAAAATTACAATGTGGAGTGTTATTTGTCCAATGGCTAAGCAAAACCTCTTTCCAGTCAGGCCGTGTAAAAGAACGATGGATCCCATATTTAACTATGCACACTAGGAAAACAGCATTTGCAGAATATTACAGTTAAAATTGTGGTTATAAAAATTTGTTTATCCTAGAGTATCAGTACAGTGATTTGATTGTCGGTCATGCAACGTAAATAATAAGTGCCTCTCCCTTGGCGGTGGTATTTTGCAACTTTTAATATTAAAATTATTCGATTATTTATTATGCATCAACAGCCAAATGGCCGATTACTTATACATCACAAAAAACCAAGAATAAAAAGCTAATGAAATACGATTTATTATTATTATTATTATATGATTAGCGTCACGTGTCCAGTGCTTGTAATTGGCATCATTTATACTGTCAAGCACTGTTGTTATTGTAGACGCTAATATATTATTTCATAATCATAGCTATTTTCATATTATTGGTAGAAGAAACTACTGATGTTTACATTAGCTGCCTTGCTATGATTCGAAAGACATCGACATAGTGACAAGTGTGAACTCCAAAGTTCGCGCAACTTCTTATCTCTACTACGACAAGATTTTGCCACATGACCATCAACACCGCTGCAAAATCAAACACAAGCTAACGTTTGACGCAGGTCCCCGCCTTCCCATGAATATTACTCGGTTTTTCCTTGTTCCTCGTCTGACACTTGCCAGCCACTCCTGACCTGGTTTCAACCCGGGGAGCGAGACCACACAAGTGACAATATGGACGCAATAAAAATTGCAGTTCTAAATCATGGAAGTTCATTTATCTAGGGCGAAATACATCACTGATTCTCAGAGTTTCCTGTCAGTAAAAATAGTAGTCTATAAGTATAATTTAATTATTACTAGAAGTCTATATGAGTCCATTTAAGATATACAAATTAATGTTTTATGTTCTACTGAAATATTGATGTATAAAGTCACAAGTCATCCATACTTGACATTATAAATTACAAATTACGCACAAAGCCACAAGAAAATAATTTTCTGTCTTACGAGGATGTGGTTGGTGTGTCTGTATGTGAAGGATTCAGCGACCGCCCCCTCAAGATTCAATGTAGTATCGAAATGATTGCTGTACAGTCTGACAATGAGAATCATACGAAACCCATACGTGCTACAGAAGTTTCCACCATGTTTTAAAGAGTTAACTAAAACACGTTATGTCAGACCATAGGTGCTTCTGTTTCGTAGGCCCTTTGAATGATTCGTTATTATTGGCGTATCGATTTCTATGGGCAGACTGGTGATCAAAATTATCTTGAATTACAGCGGTTCCACGAAAATGTGTCCAACTTACAGAGGTGTCCAGGAAAGAGGGAAAGGGAAAAATCACCCTTTCATATTGTGGTTCTATGACATGTAATCTATTTACTTACATAAACTAACTACTGTAGGCTTACTTGCATGGAGAAAACACCAACGTTTCGAGAAGTGAGTATCCTGAGGAAGAGGACGAAGATGGTTCTCGAAACAATGGTTTTTTCTCCATTAAACCACCTGAGACGGCTGGCAGCCCGAGAAGAATTCAGTATAAGTAAGTTAGAGTTTCCTATGTTTTATTCATTGTGTTTTCAGATAGATCGGATGACAAGGTTCTGAATTTAGCCGTAATCTGCTCTTTATTTCTTCATGAATGCTACGTTCATTTGTTAAAGTCGTTCCGAAATATTTGAACGTATCCACATTTTCGAAGGAACCATTATTTAGCTGTCTTGCTATGCAGTGTTTTATGAATCTGCCCTTCGTTCTGGGGACGTGACAAAAACGTCTATGCGAGTTTACTTTGGGACCAAGCTTCTTGCCATCGTCTATTACAGAGACCATGTTTTTGTTTGTAGTATTTAAGTTTTCACTAAATATGCGAAATGGAAGTCCTTCTTGAGAAGCTTTTACGCTCACCTGATTAATAATGCCCTTCCTTTTATGATACTCGAATGTTCATTAACGGATTCACAAAAGCCCATCATCACTGAACACATCCTTCCTTTCTTCCTTTGCATAGGATGTTCCAAAGAACCCTTTCTGAGGCCTTTTGTGATATTTCGTGACAGGATGGTCGTCTTATGGTGTGGGGTTGCCTACCTTCCCCTTTAGCCTCACACCACTCCTTCAAGCCTGAGGACGTCCCCTTGTCGGCTGTCTGCAACTGTTTATCTTGTGAAATTTATATCCATATTTCGCACATCACTTATCATCGTACTTGCAGCTCTACTCGGTGCTTACAAACAGTGAGATAACAGTGAAAACAGCAGTAGACTCAAGTATACATCATTACCACTTCCTTTCCAACTTGACGCTCGATTCCCTACATCTCTGTGATAATTGGTATATTTCGTACATCCCAACCAAGGAGCATGGCAATGTCGCGAGACACAGAACTCTTCACTCAACAGAACGCGTTGCTATGGTACCTCATCAGTGTGTTTATTAGCCAGAGACTTGAACGCCATCACAGGCTAGACAACCACTGGCTTTTGTCAGGACATATCAACAATCTGTTATACACTGTCCATTGTCTGTGGTATATTTGGAACAAACTCTGTTTCAGGAATTTGCTCTATTTTATTTTTCATTTAGATTTTTATTTTTGTTCGTATTAGTGACGACAGGTGGAATCCAAATCAGGACATTCTGAATGCTTGACTAGACCGCTAGACTAGAACAAGAGGGAACAGAACCGAGTAGACTGGACTGGAAGGAAACAGAACAGAGTAAAATTAAACAGAACAAACGATACAGCAATGTTAAACAGCCAACGATTTCATCGTAATTTCCTAATGCGTCAATATATACAGAAAACTTGTGTACCTACAAAGCCACAAATCTTGATAACATTTGTCCAAATTTCCATTATGACGTGTTCTTTGAATAATGAGATACGCTTACATTTTTACATTGCCTGCGATTTATTGATACGCTTATGCGGATGATATCTGCGGTAAAACTTGCAAAGTACGTGAGGTATTCTTTTAAAATCTGATATGCGCAATCTCAATTAAAAACTGCAAAGAACGCATGTGGATACTCAGTGAGCTCTCGATTAGCAGCTGCGCCATCGTTGATTCGTGTCACTTTCATTATCGAGTAGGCAGGCGGAATACGTTTCGATAAAGGGAAGCTGGTGTAGACGGAATATATGGGGGGGGGGGGGGGGGGGGTTTGCACTGGCACGAGTTGCGGGAGTGACATTGGTGACCTTAGTCTTAAGCCCGGTCTACACGTAACGTCTTATCGTACGTTTTCTTTGATCAGTTAAGACGTATCAGTTACGGAGGACATAAATACACAAGAAAATTGCAACTAAATATATTAGGATATTTGTAAAAATAATTTAAATCAATTAAGTAAATTATACTATTATAGAATGTGAAGAAGTGTGACAATTTTCGTCTCGAATATGTCCAAATCCCTGCAGACAACATTAGCAGCTGATGCGCATCTAGCAGAAGGACTGTTTTTGATCAAAGGGCTAACACTGAACATGAAAAATCTCTCAGATTCCGAGCAGGGATGCGGAGACCGACAGCTTCCAGAAGGGAAGGACAGTG